CTACACATTGCGGGACAGCCAATTATAATAAAAAAACCTAAATATATTACATTATATATCATACAACCTCTCCTTTTGAAGACCAACAATTTATCTAAGAGTTCCATATTTTAAAATATTTTTTCCTTTTTATTTTCTGCGCCCCAGTGAAGTTTCTCCATTACCCTAGTATCTTTGACTCTATCCAATTTATTATAGCTTCTGTTGCTTTATATCAGAAAAGGAATTAGGCCATCCAAGTAAAATCTGCAAAGGAGTTATTTCATATGATAAAGGTAAAATTTGTTTATTTTATATAAGTACTTGTTTCCAATACTGCTGAATATATAAGCAAAACAACCAGATAAGTTCGTGAGTACCTTCCTCAAGCCCACATCTCCAATATGTATTGTCTACTTTTGGAAAATAACAATTCAATAATGCAGGGTTCTATTCCACTGTGTTGCCAGTTTGTAAAAAGATTCCCTCTTAGTCTGACTAACCGAATTCATAATTTACTTTACGAAAAATATAAGACCAGTCACCAGCCGACATATGTATATGTAAGGCAGTTGTCCATTTAGTCTGAAAATGAACAGGAGCCTCATCAATTACACCTATTTGTACTATAGTGTATATCTTAGATAGAGAATGGATTCCTTGAAGTTTGGAAATACAAAACGACTCAAAGGAGTTAAGCTCTCTAGGTATCCAATCTGGGAGAACCTCCTTTCATAGAAAGTTAACAAGTTGAGAATAGATCAATATGTCTAGCAACGTTGGTGTTTTAGAGGTGCCATGCAATTCATTATGAGTTGGGATTGTATTTACTTGTAGTAATAATTTTAAGTTTCCCCCAGATCCAACCAATAGATGAGTTAACAATGCACCTCCTTCTCCCTTATGGAAGTCAGGGTTTCCTGCCAATGGATATAATGGTGAAATTCCAGGATATAAATGCCACTTAGTTTAGATGTGGGGTTAAGCCTAGTTAAAGGGCAACTTAACTATGGAAGATTATACAGAGGGACATTTGTGAAGCTTTGCTCTAAAGTATACCAGGATTGTCGAGCTTCCACATTAGTCCATTCTCATAGTCTAGTCAGCAATGTTGCCACATAATAATATAAATTAGGTAACGAAAGCCCACCCTTAAGCCCACCCTTATCTCTATGGCTTGTTAAAATTTGAGAGCCCAGGAAGGGATGTTTATTACTCCAAATAAATGATACAAAACTTTTCCTAAACTTTATAAATATTGACTGTGGCAAAAAAATAGGTAATGTCTGAAACAAGTATAATATTTTTGGAAGAACCATCATTTTTTTAATATTAATAAGTCCAAGTATAGAAAATTGTAGTAGGTTCCATTTTACAAAATCCTCCTTAATCTCTGTCAAAAGTGGTATATAATTAGCTTTTTATGAGGCCAGCAATCGAGGGTGTCAAATTGACCCTCACATATTTAAGCCCACCAGATGGCCAATAGAACTCATGTGTGCTACTTAATTTCATCCTTAAAGTATATTTATACCCAGTATCTCACATTTAGCAATGTTTACTTTAAAGTTAGATATTAGGCCAAACTTTTCTAATACCATTTTTACTTGAGTTACTGATTGGGTAGGGTTTCCTAATGAAAAAGTAATATAATCAGCAAATGCCGAGACTTTAAATTCTCCTCCAAGAAATGGGTATCCTCTTATATATTGATTTTTCCTAATGGCCTGCAATAAAGATTCTAGAGATAAAACAAAAAGAAAGGGGGATAGAGGACATCCCTGCCTTGTTCCATTTCCTATATAAAAAAATTTGAATATGTCCATTTACCTTTACACTGCAGATTGGTCTATCATAAAGGACTTCTATCCATTGTCTAAACCTATCCCCAAACCCATGTGCCTCCAGTACAGTAAAATGATAGGAGCAGTCCACCCTGTCAAAGGCTTTCTCCACATCGATAGCCAAAAGCACTACAGGTTTCTTAGACACTTTTGCACCGTGTATAACATTTAAGATTTTAGTGGTATTGTCTCGTGCTTCTCTTCCCATCACAAAGCCAGCCTGACCAGGGTGGACCAGTCCAGGCAAAAGGTATTTGAGACGAAGTGCCAATATTTTAGCATAGATTTTGAAATCCATATTTATCATGGAAATAGGTCTATAACTCCCACACATAAGAGGGTCTTTCCCTTGTTTTGGAATTAAATTAATAGATGTTTGTAACATTGGTAGGTGTAGAGTTATCCCAGGAGCAATTGAATTGAATGTATTTAAAATGTTTCAACTAAATTAAACTGTAAATGTTTATAATAGCAAATTGTAAGGCCATCAGGACCAGGATTCTTCCAAATTGGGAAGGATGTAATTGCTCTATCGAACTCAATACCGGTAATTGGAGTTAGAGATTTCAGATCATCAAGCAAAATTTTCTCTGAAATATTTGAGCTAATATAATCTAACATACAATCTTTGATTCCCGGTGATCTAGGCAGATTATATAGTCTGTGATAGTATGTATTAAATGCCTCCATTATTGATTCCGTTGTCAAATGTGCATTTCCCATTTCATCTTTTATTTTTGCTGTATTAGAGGACTGGAGCCTTTTTTTCAATGCTTTTGATAATGATTTTCTACATTTATTACCGTATAAATAAAAGGATCTACGGGTGAGCTGAATTGCTCGTTGGCCTGTAAATTAAGTAAACTTCTCAGCTCCATTCTATACACTACTAAGTGTTGATAAATATCAGAGGATAGTTTTAGCTTATGGGCCAGGTCTTCAATTTCTATTTTATGGGTCAATGTCTCTAAAGCAACCAGGCGTTCCTTTTTTATACATGCTCCCCTTATAATTAAGACCCCTCTAGTTACACATCTATGTGCTTCCCAAATCCACAAATTCTGAGTATCAATTGATTTATTCTCATCAAAATACAGTGCTATGGTGGTTTTCAATTCATCTTGTACTCTTTGATCTTATAATAATGGCTCGTTCAAACGCCACCTAGGTTTTGGGGAATTAATCCCTCAGAGCCTTAAATTTAAATAGACTGGAGCATGATCTGACCATGTAATGCTGACAATTGATATCTTTTTGATTAGATGAAGATGCCTATGAGATAAAAAAATTATATCCAATCTTAAGTAGCTATTAGCTGAATGGAAAAAGAAAGTATAATCTCTCCCAGTCAGATTCACAGTTTGCCAACTATCAGCCATCTGGTGGGCATGCAAAGTTTTCTGTAGGAGAACTCTCTGATGCTTAAGATAATCCTTCCCTTTAAATTTACTTTCTAATGATTGATCCAATACTAAATTCCAGTCCCCTGCTAACACCAAGATTCCTTCCGCAAAGGATTCTAATCTATCCAGAGTACGCCTAATAAATGCTACTTATTGTTTATTTGGGACATACACATTTTCAAATGTAAACTTTATATTGTTTATCAAACCCTTTACAAAAACAAATCTACCCTCGGGATCCGTAACTAATTCTATCAACTTAAAAATAATCTTATTTGAAAAAAGAATAGCCACTTCTCTTGATTTCCCTGCAGAATAGTTGCTATAGAAACCCTGTGAAATGAATTTTGACTGTAATATGGGTGCCGAATCTCCTCTGAGGTGGTTTTCTTGAATGAGACACACCTCAACCGAGCTTCTATGCATCTCATTCATAAAGATTGTACGTTTTTCAGGGGTATGCAACCCTTTAACATTCAGTGACTTTATCTTAAGTTGTGCTATTTACATACTGAAAAATTAAAGAGAGGATAAAAAAAGGTAAGTAAATTAAATATTTTCCACCGTCATGCAGCAGCCTCATCTCGTCCAGACCTAATACATATCCATTTAATTGAGCTCCCAGGAGGTAATTGACAACACTGTACTCAATACGCTTACTAGACAACAAAACATATAAAAAAGAAAAAAGTCAGAGAAAACAATTGAGATGGTGCAAGACTTGACAGGTGCAAAAAAATACTTGCAAGTAAATCTAAGCACCTCACGGGGGTTTGATGGCATCTAGCAGAGAATAGATTGCCAACCAAGCCTTCTAATATAGACAGACAACATAATCATACAACAACTATGGATATATACAGACGTTAATCTGCTACTCATCTCCAACTGCAATATTAAGGAAGAAAAAAATAACTTTTACACTCCTGCTTATATTCTGCCCCTCTCCCCCTGCCCCCGGCCCCAGCTTCAATATTGAGTAGGGGGTGTGGGGTGAGGGGGCCAGGAAGGAAGGAGAAAAAAAAATGATGTTTTTATTGAATCTTCCTTAATCTTCAAGATTTTCTTTCAGTCCGGATCAACTATTAACATTATTTATCTGCAGCCAATCTTCCTTTCTTTCTATGAGCTTTTTGCCATTTCATCTTTAGTGGTATTATTGGCAATACTCCAGTTTGACCCAAGCCTGTCCAGTCACTGATTTCTACTGTTGGTAAATCTAGGTTCTGTAGGAAAGTCTGAACATCAGAAGGGGATGAAATGATTGCCATTTTACTCTGGTGGGCTACCGTTAGAGTAAAGGGGAATGTCCACCTATAACAGAGTTTTTTTCATTAAGCATTGCAGTAATTGGTCTTAATGCTCTGGTGCTTGTAACATTGTTTGAGAAACGTGCTTGAAACTGCCACAGTCGCGGATGCAAGGGCCTTCTTCGCCGGCATGTCTGCCTTCTTAGACCTTCTCAGGCTCAAAAATCTTTTTCTTTTTTGTTTTTCTTTCCTTTGCTTTTTTTTCTTTCCTTTTTTTTCTTTAAGAAAAAGTTAAAAATTATATTTATTTTTTATCTCTTTTTCAACTTTACAAACTTTTCTTCTTTGTTCAATCTCCCCTGTATCATCTCTCTCCCTCTTCCCAGCTTTCTTTCTGTATCTTTATGTTATATCTCTGTCGTATTTCTGTAAAGCTTCTATAAGTTCTATAGAATCCCCTGGCCCTCTAATACCTTGCCAGTTTGTACCTTGTACCTTGTCCTCGATCTTCTGTGTTTTCCCAGATTTCTATTTGGTTCTCGGCTCTCAAATCTCAGCTCTCAACTCTCAAATCCACTCTGCTCTGTTCCATTCAGCTTCTCGCTCAATTTCTCACCACTTCTCCACACAGCCCCTTACAGCTCCTACCGCAGTTCTCTGGGCGACTCTCCGGCAGTTCAGTTCCATTTCATCCAACTCCCTCCGGTCTCCAGCCTTGCAGCCTCTCTGCGATTTACAGCATCTCACAGCACCTCACATTGTGGGTATTTAACTCTAACTCCGGCTGTGGCTCCAATTGAGGCAGGAAGAAACCTGGGTAGGATGCCTGGCTAAGTGGTGAGTGGTAAGTGATAGAGCAGTAAAGGGTGGTTATAACTACCGGTTATGGGTACCTGCTACAACAGAGAAAGCTTAGCTGGAAAAGTTTAGTGTCTTACTCATGGCGGTTCAGTCAGGCTGCTCAATCAAGCTCCTAGCGGCTCGGGCAGCGTTGGCGCTTCCCTACGCATCCACGCCCACATATATATATATATATCTATTATATATAATAACTATATATATTGTGTGTATGTGTATATATATATATATATATATATATATATATATATATTATTATTATTATAAAAATAAATAAAAATAATAAAAAAATTAAAAATAATGAAAACAAATTGAAAACAAATGTTACATATATATATATATATGTTTTATTCTAACTGTATTTTTATATTAAATGTTATGTTGTACTGTTTTGAAACACCAATATTTGTGTTCAGCGAAGTCTCACGTGTATAACAGTAGGGATTTTATAGTATTTTTGAAAGTTATATGGTCTAATATAAGGCTTGCATTTCAGTTTTTTTCACATTGAAATTTTCCAGATTGGTAATGTTGCCTTTGAGACTGTATGGTAACTCAGAAATGAGAATTATTCCCCATGATGGCATACCATTTGCAAAAGAAGACAGCCCAAGGTATTGCAAATGGGTTCAGTCTTGTTTAGTAGCACTTAGTCACAAACACTGGCCAAAGATAGCATTCAGAATAGTTTTTTGCATTTTTTACACACAAACATAAATACTAAATTTGGCCAGTGTTTGTGACTAAGTAGCTACTAAAAAAGACTGGACATACCCCATATTGAATACCCTGGATTGTCTACTTTACAAAAATATGTATATGTAAGGTGTGATCCAGAGATTTATGACAGATAACAATGTTACAATGTAACTATTGATACATTTTTCAAATATATATTTTGAAACAATTAATGTCCTACTTGTATTTGTAGCTCTATAACTTGCAAAAAACGCTGAGAACATGTTAACTTTAGGTAAATCTAAACTCAGGACAAAATTTAGAAACTATTTAGCATCGGTGTTTTATGGCGGTTGTAGATGCGTAACAGATTTTGGGGGTCAAAGTTAGAAAAAGTGTGTTTTTTTATTTGTTTCTCATATATTATATTTTTTTTTATAGTAAATTATATGATATGATGAAAATAATGGTATATTTAGAAAAACCATTTAATGACGAGAAAAACTGTATATAATGTGTGGGTACAGGAAATGAGTAAGAGGAAAATTACAGCTAAAGACAAACACCGCAGAAATGTAAAAACAGCCCTGGTCCTAATGGTAAGAACATTGAAAAATGGTCTGGTCACTATGGGGTTAAAGGAACACTCCAAGTACCATAAAAAACTATAGCACTCTGTGGCAGTTATGGTGCCTTGAAATAGCAAAGATAAGAACCATTCGGGCCATCTAGTCTGCCTAATTTTCTAAATACTTTCATTAGTCCCTGGCCTTATCTTATTGTTAGGATAGCCTTATGCCTATCACACGCATGCTTTAAACTCCTTAACCTCTACCACTTCAGCTGGAAGGTTATTCCATGCATCCAATACTTACTGATATTATTTTTAAACCTTTGCCCCTCTAATTTTAGACTGTCCTCTTGCTGTGGTACTTTTTCTTCTTTTAAATATAGTCTTCTCCTTTACTTTGTTGATTCCCTTTATGTATTTAAATGTTTCTATCATATCTCCCCTGTCTCGTTTTTCCTCCAAGCTATACATGTTAAGTTTCTTTAACCTTTACTTGTAAGTTTTATCCTGCAATCCATGAACCAGTTTAGTAGCCCTTCTCTGAACTCTCTCTAAAGTATCAATATCCTTCTGGAGATACAGTCTCCAGTACTGCGTACAATACTCCAAATGAGGTCTCACTAGTGTTCTGTACAATGGAATGAGCACTTCCCTCTTTCTACTGTTATACAACCAAGCATTCCTGCTACTCTATTACATTGTCTGCCCCCCTTTAAGTCATCAAAAATAGATGTTTAGGTTAGGACTCTATCAAATAGTATGTACTCTGCCCTTGGGTTTTTACGTCCAAGATGCATTATCTTGCACTTAGCCACATTAAATGTCAGTTGCCACAACTCTGACTATTTTTCTAGTTTACCTAAATCATTTGCCATTTGGCTTATCCCTCCTGGAACATCAACCCTGTTACATATCTTAGTATCATCAGCAAAAAGACATACCTTACCATTAAGACCTTCTGCAATATCACTAATAATAATATTGAAGAGAATGGATCCAAGTACAGATCCCTGCGGTACCCCAGTGGTGACAAGCCCATGCTTCGAATATACTCCATTGACTACAACCATCTGTTGCCTGTCACTCAGCCACTGCTTTACTCATTCAACAATATTGGAATCCAAATTTAAAGATTGCATTTATTGGTAAGCTTTCTGTAACAGCACCCCGGGCATGAAGGGGGTTAAAAGCCATTTAGGAGATATTCCCTTTCCAGATATAAAGGCAGCTACCAAAGACACCAATCTGCCGAACAGGATGAACCATACAAATGCTCTAAACCATACGAATGCTCCAAACAGCCGAACAGGAAAAACCATACGAATAGGTTTACACTCCAGACTGCCAAATAGTAAAACCATATGAATAATCCCCCCTAGTACGAGACGAGGCTCCGTATTGAGGGTCAGCAGGTGATCTGGTTTAATGGGGTTAACTGCCCAGTATTTATGCAGGTCTCCCACCAGGTGGACACTCCCCTAAGGGACCTGGTGGGAAACTGGGACAAAATGTAGCATTGACCAGTCATAATAGTAACCACTCCCATTTACCCAGTCCAGGATGCTCCTCTCTATCCTGGAGATAATTGGGAAGTAACTCAATTATCTCCGAAGATAGAGACCAAACTCCATTTTATAAGACATAATAAAAATACATAAAAATATATAACACAAACTACCGAATGCAATATGAATCTTCAACATATCCCCAGATAGCTTAGATCTGAGCGCACATTATTACCGAATGTCGCTCAGATGCAATACATACAGTTAAATCGCCATGGAACCAAAGTCTTTCACATAGTCTTTCGTCATACGAATGGGCTCCATGGGATAGCTATCTGGGGTAGCACTGTTCACATAACTAAAGTCCCGAACGGCCCGACGTTCGTATAAACGAATGAGAACAAGAGAAGGGAGGTCGGCGGCTTCAGCGATGTTCGTGATGAAAAGTGTCCGTTTTCAGTTCCAGAGTTTTGTAGCTGAACACTGCTGACCGTTCAGCAGTTTAAAATGGCCGCTGCCACGTGTTCGTCTATACGAACAACGGCAACCCAACGTTCGTCAATTAGGCTGCGGTTAACCACAGCTTCTGGGAGGCAAATTGCTGGCACACTCCTTACCCAGGTGGTCCGGTCATTCGTCTATTTGTTCGGTAAATTAAATTTACCGAACGCCCTGGCAGAAAGGCACAAACAAGCCTTTCTGCATGGAGAAATAAAGGTTTTTACATGGGGGCCATAATCCTGGGGCAGCAGGCGGGCAACCAGGCTTCTCCAGAACATAGTGACGAGGTTGGTTTCACCACACTTTCTATGTGCAACAGTGTCAAAATCCTTACTAAAATCTAGGTAAGCAAAGTCTACTGCACCACCCTGATCTATTATTTTAGTTACCCAATAAAAAAATCAATAAGATTAGTTTGGCATGATCTCCCTGAAGTAAACCAATGCTGTCTCTGATCTTGAAATCCATGTGATTTTAGATGTTCAACAATCCTATCCTTTAACATGGTTTCAATTACTTTCCCCACTACTGAAGTAAGGTTTACTGGCATATAATTGCCCGACTCCTCCTTACTACCTTTCTTGTGAATAAGCACAACATTTGCTAACTTCCAATCTTCTGGGACTACTCCTGTTAACAATGATTGGTTAAATAAATCTGTTAATGGTTTTGCTAGTACACCACTAAGCTCTTTTAATAACTTTGGGTGTATTCCATCAGGTCCCATTGACTTATTTGTCATTGTTATTTGGAATGTCCTGGTGCCCTCTCATTGTAAGTAGCCAAAAAGTTTGCTCTCCTTAGCTAAACCCTCCAGTGCAGGGCTAGCTCATTGGCTGATGTGTAATCGCTCTATGCTAGTCTATGACAGGCTGAGCTCACGTAAAGAGTTTTCAGGCTGTAGAGAGGCAGGGAGCAACACTCTTACGTAAGAAGTCCAACATTAGGAAACAGTTTGACTATTTACCAAGGCACTTTTCGCACCATAACCACTATTACTCTATAATATATAGTATATGTAGTATGTACCCTGGAGTGTCCCTTTTTGTTACTACCAGATAGAATAATATATAAATTATATATATTAAAATACTTTTCACAAGACTGCTAAGAAGATGACTTCCTTTAGTTGCCTCCATAGAAGCAAATGGAAAAACTTTAAAAAGCAAATTTGAATAAAGAAAATACATAGACACTGGATGAAATAGAATATTAATTGTGAAACACAGATATACAAGAAATTTAGTAGCAAAACTGGAAAATTATGTCCAAATTCATTTAATGAAACCTGACAAACAAACCGAATTCAAATCTTCCTAGTTTATGTTTTAACATTATTAGCAACTATGTTTCTTTGAACATATTTTCTCAAATCTTTTACAATATAATATAGATAAAAATAAAATTTTAGTGGTGTTAGAGTTATGATTTGTCAACCCATTGCATGCATTCTGTACACCTGCATGCATAATTTAGAAATGCAATATTACCAAATGCAAATTTGCTCAATGAAGGATGTGCGTAGTTCTGTGAATGTTTATAGAGTGTGTAAGAATATGAAGTTGTATGTTTATTTTTAAGGGAACTGTGTGTGTGTGACTGAAAGCTTTTTTGGTGCAATTATGTAAATATGAGTGTATGGTAGTGTGGTAGAATGCAGCTGTGTATGCCTAATGGGACAAGATGAC